AATTGGCATAGCTTGGAAGCGAAAAAATTATAGAAATAATGCTAAAAGGGTCATTCGGGCTTAAAATCAGATTTTTTGGATCAAATAGGTTGCGGCCCGTGTGTCCATCTATCCCAAATCACTCATGATAGATGTAGGCCCAATGGACCCATAACCATTTTTGAACCCGACAAATATGAAAAAAATTTAAAACTATAAGTTTTGGACGAAGAGAGTAATATAGAAAATTTTATCCATTTTTAATACACTTATCGAGGCAGTAGATTTCCATCCAAAGCTTTGAAAATGATACATATAGTTTGTTTTTATTGACGTGATACATACAATATATGAGCATTTAGGTCAAACGAACGAGCAAAATGCAAATAAAAAAGTTCAATAAGTTTAGTTTTTTAGAAGAGATAAAACTAGGCATGGCCACTGGTCCATTTTGAACTGGAACCAACCGTACTGTAGATGAATTGGAATCGAATTGGAACCGTCGATTTAAAATTTTGAACTGGAACCGGCGGTTCAAGGGCCGGTTAAGGTTTATGCGAATGTTAAAATCTGAACCTGAACCGGCCCTGAACTGTCGATGATCCGGCGGTTCCGATCAGGTTCGAACCAGATTTCTATTTTTATTTTCAAAATAATAATCACTTAGCCTATTTTATACATCTCTAAAAGTTTCAATAATATTTCACTACATGATATATTTTACTTAAGTTTTTTTTTTTAAATACACTTTACTTTAAAAGTTGAAAATCTAAAAAGTAAAATGGTAAAAAAGAGAGAAATATTCGTACTGTAGATTGAATTGGTGGAATCGATATTGGAACCGTTCGATTTAAAATTTTTGAACTGGAACCGTGACGGTTCATAGGGTTTCCGGTTAAGGTTTTATGCTGTAATTTTTGTTAAAATCTGAACCTGAACCGGCCCTGAATTCTGTCGATGATTTCCGGCTGGTTTTCCGAATCAGGTCGAACCAGATTTCTTATTTATTTTTCAAAATAAACTAATCTCTACATTAGTTTCCTAATTTTATTTTACATCTCTTTAAAAAGTTTTCTTAATAATATTTCATTAATGATATATTATTACTTAAGTTTTTTTTTTTTAAATAACACTACTATTAAAAGTTGAAAACTCTAAAAAGTTAAAATTTTATGGTAAAAAAAGAGAGATAAATATTTAGTCTAAATATTTAAATTATTTTACTAAGTTTAAAAATTACATATCTTTTGAAGCATTTTTTCCAAAAATTTCCTTATAATTTATTTTTAATTAATACATTTAAACAAATTTAAAATGATAACTTATTTTGATTATTTGATAAAATTAATTAATTTATATTCTTATATGAGTTTAATGATCATTCTTATTATTTAATAATAAAATTTTTCAAATATTTTTTTATCTTCATATTAATATTTCCTATATGAGTATAAGTATTCTAAAATTTATTTAAAATAAAATTTATCAATATTTTTTAAACTCATATTAATATGTACGAAAGATCAAAATTTTCTTATAATTTATTTAATTAATACATTTAAACAAAATAAAATGATAACTTATTTGATTATTTTGTAAAATTAATTAATTTTATTCTTATATGAGTATGATCATTCTATTTATTTAAAATAAAATTTTTCAATATTTTTTAATCTCATATTAATATTTTCGAAAGACAGATGTAACGTTAGAACATATTTTTTTTTAAAAAAAAAACATATATCGCCGAAAACCGTGATCAGAACTGTCGGTTTATCGGAACCAGCGGTTCAAGAGTCGGTTCAGGTTCAACATTTTAAAAATTTTGAACCGTCAGTTATGTGAACTGGAACCGGCGGTTCAATGAACCGGCCATGCCTAGATAAAACATGGTCCGGCGTTTCATTTGGATATTTGATTTACAATTAGTATACTTTTCTGAGCAGTGATTTTACAATTCTATTTCAACTAATCCACATTGATCACTTTTTCTCCTTCCTTTAAACAGAGTTACACAATAAAGATTTTACATTCAGACACAGGTACCTGCAACTAGAGAAAAATTAATAATTGCCCATCTAAGCCAAGAGGGGATACCGATCCAGAAATAAAAAAGGAACAAATAAGAGAGAAGTTCTTCAAGTTACACCTTCAACTGACATAGCTTTGAAAATAAGCCTTTTTTTTTTTTTTTTTGCTCATCTAATCGTTCACATCACTCTTGAGGATAATTAATTAGACAGTATAAATTATGAGATTTTTGTCTTTAGACATTGTATTTCATAAAAGCATATAAAGATTATATAGTAATTATCTTTAAGAATACTTTTCATAATTTACCGTCACTTGTCAAAGAATCTAACAATTGAACCTTATAATATGTTAGAAATATAATATAATTTTAGAAATGGAGATCCTTACTAATGTATTTAAGCAAAACCTAAGCACTACATAATATAATTACCCTATTTCTTATTTAGTCTAAGCTCTCCATGAAAACATTGTTGTCTTAGTATTTGAAATATCAGAAAGTATTGGAAAGGGGAGAGAACCGAAGAAGTTAGATTAGTTTGGTAAAATGAAACTTTAATATAAAATGCTTTTTGTGGGTGTTGTTTCTAAGCATTAAAGTATTTTCACCACCATACTAACCACTAGTACTATCAAATCGGAGGGCCCCGACCCGGCGCAGGCTTGGTCTCAAAATGGACCGAGCCAAAAAACCTTATTAAAAAGTAAGTTTCCAATATTCAGGCTCGGCTCAGACCACAACGAGCTTACGGCGGACGTGTCCATTTTTTAAAAACAATAGAAAATTAACTGTAATTTGAATATAGAAAATTGTGAAAATTTCAATAGACTAGTTGTAAAAATCTATCCTCTTTCTTTAAAATTTTACCTACACCAATCCTCACAGTTGATTTTTACCACAACATGGTTATGGTTTTCTCTACCCTCCTAAAGTGAGCAGTTTGCGGATCCATCCAGTTCGGCCCACGCAAGCTTCTCAAAATGGTCTGGTCAAATATATATAGGGTAATTATAATAGATGTCATATTTTTGAAAGTATATTTAGAGATTGTCAGTTTAACTTTTCAGTTTAAATTATTGTCGGTTTGGATTTATTTTTACTTTTATGCCTTTTTTTTATTTTGTTAGGCGCTAGTGTTTTAATTGCTTAGTGTTTTTTTTTTTATTAATTTTCTATTTTAATTATTAGTGTTTTAATTGCTTAGTGTTTCCTTTGTTATTAATTTCCTATTTTATTTTTCTGCTGCCATCTTTTTGCAGCCTTCATTATTTTCATCGTCATTCTTTCTCATTTTGTTGCCGTCTATTGTTTTTTTTATCATTATTTCTCTTTTTGCTCTTGTTATTTTCAGCCGTCAGTTGTTTTCTCATTATTGACGTTGGTCCATAGTTTTTTTTTGTTTTTCTCATTATTAGCATTGTTCCACGGTTTTTTTTATTCTATTTCTCTTCTGCAATTTCATTTTTATATGAGCGTATCAATGACTTAATTTTCGCTGAAACCTTGTCACCACCATGGATGTTATTTATGCTTTATAGTGACAAAGTAAAACTCTCGATTCAGTTTGGATTAATATTGATACAATATATATATACAAACACTGTATTTACTTGGTTTGATCTAATGTGTTAACTATATATACTAATATATATATACAATACACTGTTATTTTTTACTTAGGTCTTGATCTAATGTGTTAACTATATACTATATTATATATATATATAATTATTATATATATAATTAAATACAATATTATACAGCATATATATGTATACATCTTATAGCATATATTTTACCGTCGCTGTGGTCGCCGTCATAGGTTGTCATTTTCTCATTTCTTGGTGAATCACTATAAGTTGATTTATATAGGGTTTTTTTTTTTTTCGACGTTTTCTTTTTTTCAGCATTTTTCTTTTTTTTTCAGCTCATTTTCTTTTTGTTCTCCTCAGTTTATTTTTTCTTTTTTTTTTTCTAATTATAAATATATTATATATATATATATATATTATATATATATATATAGACACGTTTTGAAAAAACAGTTCTAACTTCTCTTGTTCAAATTCAAAAAAAATACGGGCAAACTTAGGCCCATTTTGATAGTACTACTTACCACACTTGAAATTTATTGCTTTAAATTACTTAAAACAAACGGTTTTAATATTTTACGCATTACATTTTCATGATTAACACTTTTACTCCTTATTCAAGATCTTTATTCAAACATTTGCATTCCTAATACAAATTATAATTATAACTTATAATAATTCTTTTCTTATCTTATACAATATTATTTTCTCAAACTATATATTTTGATTATAAAAATTTGTAAAAAATTTAATATAATGATTTTAATTATTTTGTAAATTAGTATTCAATGAATTTTCTCACAAATTAAAATTTCAAAATATTAATGTGGATTAATGATAAATGGATATATAATCTAATAATAGATTCAAGTTCAAATCACCTTCCTCCAATACTCAAAAAAAAAAACAAAATGAAGACAACGTCACCGTGCAGCTTCAAATGATAAAAAAGGGAAATACCATGTCAGCACCGAGAAGGGTTATTTCTCCTCCATTTTTCTTTATTCTTATAGCCATAATTATTTTCTCAAGAAAAGTAAAGGAAAATCAATTCTATCTGTATTATTCTAATAGGTACACATGAACATGATTCCAAGAATATAACATGCTAGTAGTAGTTATAAATCAGGCACCAAATATTCCACTCCAAGGTATTGACATAAATTTGTACACAAGAAAACTTTAAACTCAAAATTCATCTTAAAAAAGGAAAAAAAAAAAAAAAAAAAAAAAGGAAAAAAAAAAAAAAAAAAAAAAACAGTATCGGTTAGAGTTAAATCTCCCGTGAGCGAAGGAACAATGGGCAGTTCGACATTTCTTATTATCCGGTGCATTGGTTCGATACTATAGCAAAAAAAAAAAAAAAAAAAAACAGTATTCTGGTTAGAGAATCTCCCTGGAGTGCAGGAACAATGGGCAGTCGACATTCTTATTATCCGGTGCTTGGTTCGATACTTAGCAAGGGAAACACTTAAGGTTCCAAAAATGGGATCTCTACAAATTTTTCCATTGGTGGGACCCGTATGTGTGACGATTTGTGTACATGAAAGGAAGAACCGCCTCCTACCAAACTGCTTAGCATTTACAGTAGTAAAATTTTGGTACTTACACAGACCAGATAAATTGAATCAACCACAAAAATTCTTCATCAGCACCTGGGCTCCTGCTTCAATTGGACCCCACTGAGCGAGCCAAACATTATCGACTGGATACACAGAAAAAGAAACAGTTAAAACATAAATTTTCGTTGCAAAAAGTTACTCCATGTACTAATTTTGATATTATGGAGGCATAGGTGATTGAAATTCTGATTAACATACGTGGTCATGAAATTAAAAGTTACATTTGAGCAGTGAAGTTACATTGGTACAAAACTTATAATTATATTGGTAGAAAACTTATATTTGCCAAAAAGTCCAAAAAGTAAATTTATATCAACACATGTTTTTGTTCTGATGATTCCAAACATTTGTTCCATTCATACAAGCAATATAAAATCAAGGATAGTAGATCCTAAAGAGACAGGACATGCCTCAACTCCCTCCCAAAAAAAGGAAACTTCTTGATTTGGCCCCACAATCATTCAATATAATTTAATTATCATTTGTTTGTTTTTCGCATGTCATTTGTAATTGATTTTAAGAATATACATTAAATCTTACAATTTCATTTGATTGTTCATTCTCAATGTTTAGAAGTAAGACTTCCATTAGAGACTCCAACCAGGATAGTGGGTTCCTGTTCATCTGACAGAACTGGCACTAGACCGAATGAATATTCTCATCCAACATTTACTTAGCTAGCTAGCATGGCATCCTCAGATTATGTAATTAAGTTGTTGCGCTGAGCTTACCTGAGTTGTGCTTGGTAATATACTATTTGCAAGATCCTCATTAATAGATACAGGCAGAGGTGGCATGTGGCTCATTATGCCAGGCATACCTCTCATGCTGCAAACAATCAGAACAGGAATTTTCACAATATTAGAAACATTAAAGTCAGTAGTAAGAAGTAGAAATAACTATAAATAGCCAAATCCTGAATTAAATTTATTGAAAAACGTCCACATACTCATTCAGGATGGCAGCAATATTGCTCCTCGTGCGACAGAAGAGGTCAATGTTATCCTGTAACTGTTTGTAAAATTATGTCATCTTTAGTAAACCACAACTTATTTTTAAATAAATTATACCAAGGAAAATATACATATCAAGCGCCAATAACAGGTGCAATTTTTTAAACAAAATGCATTATCACATTAACAGGAACAATTTCAGTTTCATCAATGAACAGATAGAAAAAAAAGAAGCCTATATAATGAGAAATTGCATCTTCGTTGTGGCTGTTGCATTCCCCAAGAGGACACATTTCATATAGAAAAAATGTATGCATTATGCCCAATGCAGAAATTTGTGCATATAACATTTTTCTTTTACATGTAAAAGAAATGGCTACTCCATAATCAGTATGTTGGACATCATTACCTACCCAGTTGTCACAAGTTACTCTGCCATCGTACAAATTGGAAAACTTCAAATTGCCAATATTCTCAAACCACTATTATCCAAAACAGTAATGTAATATTAAAATCTTTATAATCAGACGTGGCAACTCTTAGGTCCCCCCACCCCCCAAACAAAAAAACAGGAAGGGGGGGAGAGGGGGGGGGGGGATATCAGTAATGTAATATTAATCTTTATAATCAGACGTGCGCGCAACTCTTAGCGTCCCCCACCCCCATATTAACAAAAAAACAGGAAGGGGGGGAGTAGGGGGGTGTGGGGGGGGGGGGGGGGGGGGGGGGATTTTGTGACAATTCCAACAAATAAGCATCCTGGCTTTAGTTGTTAAAGCACTATAAAAAGAGAAGGAACAGAATGCAAGAAAAGCGAATACAGAATGTTCATCAAAATTTAATAGATTTTCGTTATTTTGGAGTGCCCAGCACCCAACTTTTATCCCAGTAAAAGCACCAACTGCTTCAAACTAAAGGACCAGGACAAGATTTGTGAACACAAGTGCAAAACACACCTACTCAAAAAATGATTGCTTAAATAGAACCTCTTCTTCTAACAAATAGTAATCCTGTTAATTAAAATTGCAGTAAATTAACCAAATGAGCTAACCTTGATAATTAAAATTACTATTTGTCCAAAATTACCTGCCATGTATTTGGTTAATTAAATTGTAGTAATACTATTTGTGAATAGTATTAGACAAACAATTACTACTTATGCATGTTATCAAGAACAGCTCATAATAGGAGCAGTACTTATGCTCTAATAGGCATGTCCACAAACTGAAAGAGAGGTTGACGAGGAGAAAACCAACAACAACCACAGTGAAGCAGGAAAGAAAGAGTCGAAATGGATTTAAAACATAAGGTGGGTTCTTTATTATTATTTTTTTCTTTTGCCTTTTCTGGAAGAGAGTTGGGAGTGGGTAGGGGTGGGGACGGATTATTTAAGAAATTTTTCTTCAACTGGTTAAGTATTGAGAGAAGCTATTTTTAGTTTATAGGCATCCAACATGATCGCTTTACCATCTTCTGCTTCTTAAATCCAAAAACTGTAGAGTTGTAACTGTCAGTACTTTAGTTCTACCATATGAAAGGTAGGAGTGGTAAAGATATCAATCACACGATGGCAGAAAATTTACATGTAGAAGCAGGCACCATATCTGATGGGAAAGATCCCTGCTCAGGAGGTTGACAACTCATATTCAGCACTTAATTGCTCAAAATGTTCAACAAAACTACCTTTTCAGCCTTAATATTTTAAGTGCATTTGACAATACTTGTCTAAGAAACAGTTTCTACTTAATATGCTAAGTGAACATTAGTTCTTTCTTAACACCCACCATCATATTATCACCAAACTACCATACCTCTATCACTATCACACTCACTACCCACCATCACCATAGGAATGGTAAATGGACAGCTTTCGCCATCTCTATCCCTGCCCCCTTCCTACACCGCCCCCCACATAGTAACACAATACAAATGTGTTCAGGCATTCCCCAACCTATCCTCACCCCACTCCACCCTCTTTCATATAATGATTTTTTTCCCTTTCATTTTACCTTAGTTAGCTAAACAAATTCCAAAATGTCAAATATGCTCAATAAAATGAATTAAATAATATAGAAAACCATTAGAATTCGAACTTTGAAATCATTATACAAAATAGAATATCCAAATAGCATTATATATAACAGAAATAATTGTCATCAAGTACACGACATGCTGTACATCCAGCAAATTATTAGAAAAGATAAGATTAAAAATATCCTAACATAAAACAACAAATCTACAATCAACAAGGTATACATATAATCACTTCGTAAATTAAGGATACTCTAGCAGGTGTGCGCACTGTACACTGATTCATCTCATCTCTGATTTAATTCATTTTGAGTTTTCCCAAAAAAATGCCTCAACCATCGCCCGACTGGGGGGATTACATGGATACAGGTCCAATTTCCATCCCAGCATCATGACTATTATACAATATAATTGTCATGACCACCACACCATTGTTCCTAACACCATAATCATAGCCAGTGCCACTATGGTTGTCATCCACTTGCTATAACCACCATCATATTTATAATTTACCAATTACATTGAAATCACCAACATTACTATCGCAATATCATTACAATATCACTTAAACAACTCAGCTAAGCCTAGGTCAGGTCTGTCATTTCTTTCAATAATATTATTAAATATATCATTTTTTAGATTTAAAAGTTAGCTCTTGTTAATTGGTTATATTTCAATGCTATTTTTTTTCCCCTTCCACAAGTTGAGTACATCAAACACTATAACGACTTTAATCTTTTGACTGTGACAGAGATAAGAAACCTAAAATGGATGTAGAAACAGACGATCCAATTACACTATACAAAGGTGGAAGTACCATACATTCAAGAGCAGTTAAGTTAGAAGCAATTGAAATGGTTCAGCAAATCTAGCACATTTACCGTTTGTATAGCTATAAAATAGAGTACTAGTTACAAGAGTGAAAGAGAAAAAGATGTTTGAATCCAATTAAGGTAGAATTGAAGTTGAGTTGAGTTGAGTTCTTTTCTCAAACAGAACGGCATTCTGTTGTAATACTAAAAAGACTAGCTGCACTACAGTAGTTTAGTATCGCCTTTTGAATCAAATAACAAAGTAATATAAAAAATTTGAGCCAATCAAAGACTTAGCTGATCAATTTTTGTGCATATCCCTGTAAGGTTTAAGAAACACGTGTATCTCTAAACAAATTTATCCTCGTAAATTTGTCAGACACGTCTACAGATTCAAGACAAAAGTCTGAAATTATAACACACACACACGCACACACACAAACATATAGGTAGGACCTTATATTTTCACTGGCAGTCATGGTTGTAGTCATAGCTGCAGTTGTTGAATAGGGGACCATTAAGGACTAGTCACGGCAGTTAGTGTTTTTCTTTTTCCTCTATCTCTTCATATATATATATATATATATATATCCACTAAATCTAGCTAATTGATGACCAGACAATGCACCGAATAACAATGTTAATCATTCAAATCCTGAGCAAGAAGAATGTAAAATGGAAATCAATGCGAGTAAAAGAATTTGCCAAGGAAAATGAAGCCCTGACAATCTGTAAGCTAGAGTTTACCTATTACTTTTAGAAAGCACAATCAAGTTGGCTCTTTAAAAGTCTCACAATTTTGTAAGAGATTTGAGTGTTTCTAGTGTGTAAACAAGGGGGAATGTTTAAACCAGTCCAGAAATCATTATGTAAATGAACTAAGTTACATTCAGGAAACTTTCTTCCTTTTTTTTTTTTTTATAAATTTTAAACCAAGTTACTCCACTATATCCAAAATACCTGAGCAACAAAAAGAATGTTCTAAAATGAACATTGACTTCATGCACTATGTTGCATCAATTCAACATGCCATTGAGAGTGTCATAGAGATAGTGACACAATGATCAAATCCAATCTACACAGTGGTGAACCACATCTTTTTTTATAAGCTACCATTTATTGACTGAAAAAACGTTAAAAAATAAAAAATAAACAAAGAAGAGGATGGTTGTATTCACCTTGAAGGTAGAAAGGTTAGCAGTGATTTTACTAAAAACTTGGGCATTTTGTTCCAAGAGATGCCTGGCTGTACCACTTAATCCTGAGACCACCACAGTAACAAATACGTCAATAAAACCCATATTCTTTGACACTACAAAAATAAAAGAATTACTCGAGTTATGTAAATAAATAAATCAGAACATGAAAATGAACTGCAAAGGTATTTGTTTGAAAATATTGTATAAATCACATAGTTATATTTGGTTTAAATTTATTATATTTGTTTTCAATTTTAATTAAAAATTTTGACTTAGCATTTCTTTAATCAAGATTTTTAAGTGAAATATAGACAAACGTACCAAACAACTTAAAATAAATAAGTGCTGAGAATTTAATTCTAAGTATTGAAGGGTGTTATCAAGTACCTTACTATTCAAAAAAATCCTTCATGTAGCTATTATTAGTATTAATACATTGCATATTTAGTTCATATTTTTTATGTTAACTTCATTTATTTTATGAAGTTTTTAATTTATGAAAAAAAAGAAGATAAATTATCTTATATCTGTCAACATAACAATCCCGAACACCATCAATATCATTTTTTACAACCCTAATCATTAATGTCCGCAGATAGGCACAGAGAGGCACACTACAATCTAGGAAATAAGATAGATATGTCCTACCAAATCTTAATGAGCACTAGATATTGTCATAAAAATTTCTAAATATCCCAAAAATCCCAAGCAATCAAAACTTAAATATGTCTTTCATTTTCTCCATTAGCCAACCCTACAGTTGTCAAGGCGAGCCTCAATGAGACCATGGGGTTTGCACCATTGTCAAAATCATGAGTTAAACTCATGCGAGTTTACGATCCCACATCACTAAAATGTGTTGAATCGTTTACAATCTTGAGTGCTGACAAAATCAGTGTAAAGTTGGGTTGAAATCAGTAAACTCAGGTTAAAACAAACTGATTTTAGAAAAGAGGTGAAATAGTGGAATTGGGTAGCTAAATGGCCATTGGGCTGACTTTTTATGAGACCCAAAAAAAAATCATTACCTAAGATGGCTGTGTTTTGGTTAGAATAGAATTAGAGACAAAGTTTCACTCTCCCCTTCTCTCTTTGTTCTCTTCTGTGCATCACAATACTGCTCCATCACCACCTAGAATGACGCAACACAAGGAGCAGCAACACAAGCTGCACGCGACTTCAATCAAGATATGAATTAGTTTTTTTTTTTTTTTTTTTTTTTTCACTTCTCCCTTCTCTCTTTGTTCTTCTTCTGTGCATTCACAATACTGCTCCCATCACCACCTAGAATGACGGCAACACAAGGAGCGCAACAAAGCTGCCCACGCGACTTCAATCCAAGATATGAATTAGTTTTTTTTTTTTTTTTTTTTCCCCTGATTTGTTCATTTTTCTTTGATTCTGTTTTTGTCTCTACTCCTCATCTCTTGATTGATTTTCTGGATTTTTTTTTTTTTTTTTTTTTTTCCTGATTTGTTCATTTCTTTGATTTGTTTTTGTCTCTCTCCTCATCTCTGATTTGATTCTGATTTTAGTTCAACAGCGAGCCGAAAACAAAATTATCATAAAACACGTTAGGCAAAAATGAAAAAGAAAAAAAAAATACTTCAAAGAAAATAAAGTTTGAACACAGAGGATTACCATTCAAAAAATTTAAGCTGTCAAGTTTTTCCAAAGCTGCCTGCCTGTGTGTGTGGGTGTGCGTGTGTGTATTTTGTTATGCGAATTTTATTCTTTTTTTGTCATGGAGCTGGGTTATTTTATTTTAGGCTGTTTTTAAAACCTTTCAATTTTATGATTTGATTTTGTGGACTGCCTACCAATTCTAGTTAAAAAAGCAAGTTTGACAACATTGGGTTGCACTTGGGTCAGCCTAAGGCAAGGCACCATCTCTCAGTTTTTCCACCCCAAAAAGTTCAACAGCATCAGTCTCCCAACCACTAGAGGCAACATACAAGTCCTCCTTTCACCCATCCCTTTTTTATTCTTCCAATTCGATCTCTTTCCTTTCTTCATTTTTGCATCCTTTCTTATTTTATCTTTCATCTTGTTCATGTTCTTCATCTTAAGTGCTACTTTGACCCTTTTCATATTCTTACTTCTTCCCTATCCTTTTGACGCCTCCGCCTTTCCATTCAATGATCATTGATCTGATGTCAACCTTTCTTTCCTCCACTGCAAAACATGAACAAACAGGAGCATTTGCTTTGTGTCTTGCACATAGTCCCAAGTACAAACAGTGCCCCAGCAGGCCCTATGTTTTTGACATCTATTGCATTCCCTAGTAGAGAAAACTTGACCCTGAATCTCAGATAATGAAACTCATAGATAGCTTGAATTAAAACCCATCGACTCTATTCCAACTTCTCTTCGTTGTTTACGTCGTAGAATTAAATAAAATAACAATTTCTTCATCTTTTCAATTGGAATTTCAAGACTGATGAAATCAATTGCTTACTATATTTTTCAGATCCGATACGTTCAAGTTCAATGTCAAGTCTTAAAAATTGTACTTCTACCTCTCCAATGGTACATTCAGTTTCTCACACTTTTTGCAGGTTAGGTTCAGCTTGTTCCTTCACTCATGCGGGCATATATGAAGCAACTGGTAGGTGCTTCATTGTATGTTCACATAACATGATTGTTGCCTCACATTTTCTTTGAGGGATTCTTTACAAGTCTGAGTTTCATAATTATATATAATACTTACGTACTAGCCGCATGTTGATATTCTGTTATTCATTCCTGATAATGAAGTATACCAAATGGAAGTAATTCTAAGCAAGCAGCTCATAGAAGACATGTGGCATCAAATTGTCTAGATTTCATCTCTGAGAAAGGTCTTTCATACTGAGATGTTATCAGTACTTTTAGAAGCTTATCCTCCTTAACTTAGAATCCAAAATTGAAACTTTCTTTTGCTAACCTTAGCATTCACTAGCTCCACCACCATCCCAGTAAGACAGCCACCCAATATCCATTTATGAAGGCTGTCCTGAATAAAAAAAATAGGTAAAAGCCCAAAGATTTCAGGTCTTATCTTTTACCAATTTTCTGCAACTTCAACAAAGCGAAGTCCAAAAACCTTAAAAGTTCAACCTCAGAGGAGCAAAAGCACGTCTTTACCAGTTCTCTGTCAATACAATTGAACTTGGAGACAAAACTTGCTAATAAGTAGACAAATGCTGAACCCATGGAAAAACAATAAAAATCAATCTATCATATGGCAAACAAAAACTCAAATAGAAGTCATCAGATGCCTGAAAAGGCAGAACATAGGAGGTAAACTTTCGGCGTCACCTAGTATGACTTGCAGTTCCATCTTGAATACTTCAGTTTTCACTAAACACACAACTTTACAATTTTGAATTCTGTGATTTTTCTTTGAAGGCCAAACTAAGATTAGTTAGAACAGAATTACCAGAATTTTAAGTCCATCGTACAAATAAGTTACACAAATACATATATATGCTTGGAGAAATAGGAGAAAGATGGTTACCTAACTTTGACAGAACTTATAACATTCTTGTAAAGAACATCAAAATACTAACCTTCAAAATGCAAAGGTTCGCCCTGGTCTACTTGATGCATCATTAATGGATATGCAGTTATGTTCTGCGGCACAGCTGAAGATAAAGTCATCTTTGAGGATGATTCCACCAGCTTATCCTGAAGAAGCATGATCTTTAGAATACTGGTTCTTCAATCAACATAACATCCTAAAGACATTAATTGATTCAATAAATTAAAACATCAATCAGATCTTTAGCGCTGCAGTACAAGTAACTGATTTGTAAAAATTAAGATCCCTTCGGGTGAGTTTCTATAACTTATCCAGTAAGTAATCCGAATTACAGCTTCCATTAAAGTGCAAATTTCGCTAAGATCTAATGATAGCAACACATTTTCATCAACATGGAACTTCATGCGCTTCATAACACTTAGTATGAACCTGATGGAGACTATTCCTATATAACATAAAAGGTCCAAGTATTCATAACCTTAACTTTACAATAAAGTAAAGTACTGCAGCATAGGACATGGGACTACACCACGTACGGATAAGAAAGCATACGTAACCACCCAAACCCCCCCCCCCCCCCCCCATGGGACTACACCACGTCACGGATAAGAAAGCATACGTAACCACCCAAACCCCCCCAAACAACCCCTCCCCACAAAAAAAAAAAAAAAATTCTCTCTCTTTCACCCTCCCACACACATACAATACAGAACTTCCCTAAACTTCTACCTTAAAAATCCCTACATTCAAATCTGTAAATGTGATTGCTCAGCTATACTCCACTCAATATCATCAGACACCATGTTTTATATGCCACAGCATAGAAAAGGGTATAGCTGATAGACATATCAAAAGTGAAATTGAGGAACTAATCAAAATATAGCAAATTCAAAGCTAAGAAACTTAGATTATGACTAAAACTGCTGCTATATCCACTTATGGCCAACCAGATGAAAACCCATACTAAAAACAGAAATTGAAGGGAAATCGGGTGCAAAACCTATACTAAAAACAGAAATGAGCCAGCAGAAAGAATAAATAGCATTAGGGCCAGCCATAATATTGCTCTTATTCTTTTTAATTCAATATTGTTCTTATGCTATGACGGTAAGTGAAACTTCAGCATGCACAGGAAGAACAAATTTGTTTAACTGTAAACTGAAGCACAGTTTTTCTCCCAAAAACATCAACTACATAATAAAATTAAACAAAACAAAATTAAAAAAGTAAAGTCAATTTCATACAAAGATCTTCCTTACCTTCCTATTATTGACCTTCTTTCCCAAATTATATTCCTCTGCTTTCCTTCGCTTTCTCTATGAAAGGTGAAATAATATTTTAACTCAATGAACACATCAAAGGTAAGTTTTAATCATGCAAAACCAGTATGCAATGCATAATATTTGGCAACTAAAAATTGGGAAAATATAATCATGGTGACTGAACTTTCCACTACGTTCCAATTTGACCATAAATGTTGAGTTTGTACAATTAGATCATTAAACTTCAATTTAATATGAAATGAATCAAAAGCAACTAGAATCTGGAAAAAGACCCACTGGAAGTTGCTCAATATGTCATATTAGAAGGAAAATTGAGATACAAAATTAAAAGAGATGTTTTTTTTATAGAGTCCATAGATCTAACAATGGAAACAAAAAGTCATGAATTGGTAGCACATAAGCTTTTAAGGCGAATCTTTCACTGGATTCTGGGTCATTAGCTCACTTGTGACTATTTAATGTTTATGACCAAACTGAAACTGATTATTGTCCAATCAACATAGGTGCAGTTTTCCCTTAAAAACTTTTGTCAATGAAAAACGCGACAATTGAATACCTAATACACCAAAACATTAACATGCATCCACCTTAGAGAGTTCAAAAATATATCATCTTAAATGATTTATCAACACTAAGCACACCATCAAAGGTTCCATTCCCAACAATTTTCTCACACAGTAGACTACAGATTTATGCACAATGCCAACATTTTGAAATGACAATAATTAAAGAAATTCCAATCATAGCACTTTTTGACTTTCAACCAAAAGAATTTTCATAATGCAACAAACTAAGGGGTTTAAAAGCATTTCTTTTGAAGAATGAATGGCTGAGGGAAAAAAGATGAACATTTTAGTATCACGATCGAAGGGTGACCAACAAAACCAACCACATGTTTCAAAAAATACCAACCTGATAGACAACACAAGAAACTTCATACAAGGACAAAAAGACCCTACCGTCATCCATCTGCACCTCAATGCAACATCACGTACAGTCTTATCACGCAAGGTAGCCGCGATCTTGATGTACCTCATTATACTGGGCTCATCAGCAAATCTATATAGTAAAATAAAATGACATCAAGTTAAAACTGAAATGCAAAAGCACAGTTAAAAATATTATGCACCTTTAGGAAAACATAGTATAAAAATAATATTAATATATTAAAAAAAGAAATTTCAGACCATATCAAATAAACAGGGTAAGCAGTCAAGGGTAAAATAATCATGCCAATATAAATATTATAAGGTAATACACACCACAGAAAGCTGAGAAACAGTTTTCATAGCAAAAATTGGTTACTCTATTATATATAGATCTACATGCAAAGCCAGAAGCTAAGAGTATTTCGTTTGCAGTTAGTAGTTTAACAACACCAAATTCATTTCTTCATCTAATGAAATGTCACATAAATGCCCCTTTGAAACAAGTCAAAGCCTCATGAACCTTCAAAGAAGTTGAACAAGTACACCAGATACTAAAAAATAAAACATCAGATACTATAGCTAAGTGAAACCGTTTTTGCTCCGTTTAATTCTTTAATCTTTATTCTTTATGTTAATCATCAACAACAGAATCGAACCAGCTGGGTAAATACCTAATAAAAGTACAACAGCACTAACATAAAATCTTCCCGAGCATTTGCAGATAGTACAGATAAATTATAGCTAAAAGTTATCCATAAATTACAGCTAACAGTTATTTATAAAGCAAAAAGTAAAAGAAAGAAGATAAGCATAAACCCCAAAATCAAACAACCTACTTCTTTAGGCCTTCATCCAATTTGTGCTGTTCCTCAAGAGACCACTCTACAGCCAAGCCCGTATCATGCTTGAGGCCAGGATTAGAATCAAGAAGAAGAGAAGAAGCAGAAGAATTGACAGATTGAACATGAACTATTCCAGGAGGACTGCTGTTAATCAAGCTGGAGCTCCCAGGTAACATTACAGTACTAGGACTAATATTCATCGCATAATAACTTCCCATCGGAATGATCTCAGATGAGCTATTTATTGCATCAGATTGAAAGGATATCGAGTGTCGACTATGAGCAGAACCCAAGATTTCTTCTTTGTGAAACCCTGAGTTGGACTCCGCTGCCATTTTTCCCTCCAAAACTCTCTACCACACCATAATCCCACTGAAACAGCGGAAATTCAAAGTTCAAAGTCACATCTTACGACTTCACTTGCTCAGTCTGTCAAAACTCCGAGAAAATTAGCTGCTGTAGGAACACAAAAGTTATTCTAAAAGAAAGAAAAAAAATACACCAGAGCCCAATCTCCAACACGAATTGCCAAAAGAAACCAAAATTGCCAACCGAATTCTTCCGTAATCAGAAAGAAACCGTAATAACAATAATAAATAAACTCATACCCACGAAACTAAACCCCAAGACAACTAAAACTCAAGAACCAATCAAGAAAAAAAAAAAACTGAAAGCCCTAAACAGTACCAAATAAAAGTTAGTAAATAGAGGAGCAAGAAGTTCCAAAAACCCTAAACAGTGCAAAAATTGAACGTGTGGTGGTAAGATTGAAATAAAAAGGAAGCGTTGGATTACCTTTTGAGGGCCACTTTCCGACGGAGGCCAAATTGGCTAATTAGCTTTGCCTTTTGCACTCAGTTGCGCAAACATACATAATGCATAGTGACACTACTAAGCATACTTTTTTTCCTCTCTCTCTCTCTCTCTCTCTCTGTGTGTGTCTGTGCGCGCGTCGTAGAGAGACGAGACGAGATGGCCTACAGCTGCGCCAATAGCAAAGCAGAGAAAGAAAAGGCAAAAAGGCTTAACGTGCGCCTTTTATTTTTTATTTTTTTAAGAAAAATACATAAAACAAAAAAAGAAAAAATAAATAAATAAAGGATTTAAATAATTGATGTTTCCAGATCTTGGAATTCAGCAACAGTGCGAATCCCCATAAGCATTTGATGCCAATTATTGTGGAGTCTCCACCTTTCCTTTTTCTGCTTATTTTTTTTATTGTTTTATCTTTTGGATTTTTATTTGCTTTTTTAACTCAACTGCATTATCTGCACCATATACCATTCCCATAAATTAGGGCTGCTTGTATAGTGGGTATATTTATTTTCCATTTTTAAATGGTAAATTACAGTTTGGTTCAAGAATTTTAGCCTAACTAATAAGTTGGTCTTTCATTGTGAAGATCAATTCTTTTAATTTTATTAATTTTCTTGAACCAGCATTCTACGTTATTTATATTTGTTAATTTTTATAACATAATTTAATTTATATATTTTATTATTATTTTTATTATAAATAATAATATTATGAACCGTTTATATATAGTCTATCTTTCTACGTAAAAGTGAGAATGAAGTGAGGAATATTAGGACAAAAATATCATTATTAAGTTTATAAATTAATAAAAATGTCATTAAAGAATTTAATTTTATTAGTTGAAAAATATTTTGATTTTGATTTCATATTAACTTCCTATTTAAATCTAAATTCTGTTGGATAAAATCATAAATTATATTATATACTATATAAGATATATATTAAATATGGTAAGAATATAATATCTTTATAGATTTTAATTTTATTCATTCAAAAAATAAAGATAATTTAATTTTAATAGGTTATATTAATTTGCTATTCTTATTTCTATTGGACAAATTAAGAAATTATATTACATAAGGTATATATTAAACATGATAAGAATACAATATCTTTAAGAATTTTAATTTTATTAAATAAGAAATTATATTATATACTATTCTGTTGGATAAAATCATAAATTAATATTATAATACTAATAAGATAATATTAAATATGGTAGAATATAATATCTTTAATAGATTTTAATTTTATTCTTCAAAAAATAAAAAGATAATTTAATTTCATAGGTTATATTAATTTGCTATTCTTTATTTCTATTGGACAAATTAAGAAAATTATATTACATAAGGTATATATTAAACATGATATAGAATACAGTATATCTTTAAGAATTTTAAATTTTATTAAATAAGAATTATATACTTATTACTATAATAAGATATATATTAATGTTGTAATAATATAATATTTTTAAAGTTAAAGATTTTAATTTTATTGGTTGAAAAAATAAAGATAATTTAATTTTGATTGATATATTAATTTTCTATTTAAATCTAAATTTTACTGGATAAACTAAAAATAATATTATATACTGAAAAATCTCATAATTTTATTTTCAATTCATTTTAAGATTTTAAATAAATCAAAAATTTTATTTTCGAAGTTGCAGGCTCTATACGAAGACCTAGTGAAGGTTAAGGCCCATAATTGGTAATAGGGCCCAAATGGTGGTGGTGGAGTGGTGGTTTTGATGACGGCGATATTGGTGGTGGTAATAGTGGTGAAGTGGTGATGGTTGTGTGATTGGTGGTTGTGATGGTGATGGTGGTGGTGGTGGTGGTGGAGTGGTGGTGGTATTATTATTTGTTGTGGCAATATGATTGGTGGTGGTAGTGTTTTAATTACATTATAGGTGGTATTATTATTGTTTGGGCAATATGATTGGTGGTCGGTTAGTAGTTTTAAATTTACCATTACGTCACATTACATATTACAAACAAACATAAAAAATAGATGGATGACAAATATATTGCTATACAATTCCTATATTTTCTCAATCTTAAGATCACTATGATGCTAAAAATACAAATTTATTACCAAAATATAAGTAAACTTGGTCATACTAATTATAGATTCCATTACATTTACACTTTTTCACGAAATAGCATTATATTTTTCTATTGTTTCTAATTTACCATTTGCACTGCATACATCAAACCAAGACACAGATTTGCAATGCTACAATTAAATACCCTATAATTCTATGCAACGAAAAACTGTCAGTGGAATGAAATGTAATTAAGATTCAGTTAACTATATTTTTGGTAATGTTAAATTTGATAAAATTTATGGAATGTTAAATCATTCCATAAATTTTCTCAATTACATTACCAAAAATAGTAATGGAATCTTAATTAGATTCCATTACATTACATTTTTCATTGCATTATATTTTTTATTACATTGCACTGCATTACATCAAACCAAACACAGTGCAATGTAATTAAATATATAATGCAACGAAAAATGTAGTGGAATGAAATGTAATTAAGATTCCATTACTATATTTGGTAATGTAATTGATAAAATTTATGGAATGTAATCATCATTCCATTGGTATGTTTGTTTGTAAATATGTAATGTAATCAGCACTCCACCATCACCACCACCATATCAGCACTCCACCTCCACTACCACCACAACAACCACTCTACCCCAATCACCACCACCACAACCACAACCACCACTCCACCACCACAACCACTACTCCACTACCACCACATCATTATTAACACAAAAGAAATATTTATACCGAAAGTTATTTACTATATTATGCTATTAAAGACTATTTAGATTTATAAATTTATTTGAACCAAAAATATTAAAAGAAGATAAGCTGGGAAAAATGTAATGTAACAAAAATAAAAGTTAAAGAAATTAGCAATTATTTTTTTTCATATATTTTCGTTGAATAAATTAAATTATAATATAAAACTATGGGATTTTGATCTCTTTAGTGATTTTTTCATTCTATTCTTCGCATTCCTATTATAAAATAAAGAATAAAATATAATTTTACGTGTTGCATATTAAATATTAAGATATTATTTTTATTATGTGGTGGTGGAGTGGTGGAAGTAGTAGTCAGGGTAGAGTGGTTGAGGTGGTGGTGGTGTTGGTAGTGGTGGCAGCGGCATAGAGTGTAGGTTCTGGTGGTGGTGATAGAGTGGTTGTGGAGCAGTGGTGGTGAGGGGGGGGGGTAGAGTGGTGGAGGTGCTGGTGGTGGTGAGGCAGTGACTTAATGTAATTAGTATTACATGTGCTTGATATAATGAACAATATATGTGTTTTTGGATGTAATAAATATTACATCAATTTAATTAATAACAATTATACATGTAATCTCAATTACATTACAGTGTTATAAAAAAGTCTAACCAAACAATATAATCAGTCATGTAATGTAAAGTTCATTCCATTACTCTCATTCATCCATTGAACTTACCCTTTTATAACAACCTTCTCAACCTCTTAACCTACCTCTTTGTAAATGTCATGAATTTTTAAGTTCATTTACCTATTTAATCAAGTCAATCACTATAGTTGAATTTAGGCACCCCAATAAAAATAAACTCAAGGATACCTTACTTCCTTAAGCATTGTTAACTTACTTTTTTAATATGATTTTTCATTCAAAACTTCAATTTAATCTTGTAATCATCACGATCAATCTAAAGCTAACATAAATTTACTTAAACACAAATTAATCAAACTTCCTTCAAAAGCCCTATGCTTAACCGAACCATCACCAAGCATAATCTTAGGATTCATCTTCCTCCTTTTCAATTCCAAACATGAAATCATCTTATTTCCAAATTAAAAAAAAAAATTCATTAATTACTTCAATTTCAATTAAATCATTCAATTTCCAAAACCTCTAAATTGCTTAATCAAAATCAAAAACCCAAAAGCTCAATTCAATACATACTATGCAAAAGAGATATCAAAACCATGTTTAAACACTTATATTATGTTAAGATTACATATTTCAATCATCCTTCTCAAATTCCTTAATCGATTAATACTTCTCATATCCATGGTTTCATGGTTTGGTTTAATTCATGAAAAACCAAGAATTACACCACAAATTGAAGAGAGAAAACGATAATTTCTTATCTTAAATGATCTTCTTACTTAAATTCTTCTTAAAACCAAGAAACTTTCCCTAAAACCAAGCTTAGTATTATCTCCTCTCTTTCTCATGGTGTTCGGCCAAGATAAAGAATGAAGGAGGAGAAGGCTTCGGCTATGAAATGAGAAAGAAGGGGTAATGCTTGGCCAAATATAAAGCAAAAGGGAAGAGGTGGAATTTGTCCTTTTGTGTTTTTATGATTATAATCCTAAGCTTCCTTATAAATTCCTTCCATACCCTACCTTGGCCGAATTTTCAATTCATCTTAATTGTTTTCTTCTTCTTCTTCTTCTTTTTTTTTTTTTTCTAATTCTTTACTTTTAATCATTCTTTGAGTATTAGTAATTCAATTATATCAATTAGATCCTTAATGAAATACTTTAAACATTTAAATATTATTTTTTTAAGTATTTAATCAAAATGCTTGATTGAGGAGCTTCACGTGTTCGCTTCCTTCACCTGAATTAGGTTCACTTAATCTTATTCCAATTTAATTCTGATGACATAATTTAACTTTAATTTGCATTATAACTTACAATTAGTAGTCCTTTATATTAAAATTAAAATAATCCCAATTATTCTAGCTATCCAGATAATATTAATTATCAAGATAACTAGAATTCCTAGAACTACCAAATTGAGGATATCACATATGTAATTACAAATGGACACATGGTCGTGTAGTTTCTACATAGAGGAAGAAGACATAATGAATAATGAAGTAACTAAAA